AGTGTCGACCGCCCCGCGCGCGGGTGACGCGCGGGTGAGGGCGTCGACGCGCGGCGGGGACTGCGGAGACGCGCGAGCGCCGCCGCAAGATGCACGCATTATTCTGGTCCAGACGGTGCCGCGCGTCGAGTCCGTCCGCGTTTCGCCGCGCTCGCGGGGCCCGGCCCGGTCGAAATCGTCGTTAGAAGGAGCTTCCACCGGTCAACGAAATTTCACCCTTACCTTCGACCCGTGCGACCGATCAACCAAAAAGATGACGCATGCCACACGTCCCATGGCACGTGCCACACTTTTTCGAATCTGGGTTTTTAGATCTCGCGCGCGCGCGGCCGATCGACGGTCTGCGAACCCTAAAAACCTCCCCACTCGCGAAAATATCAAGAAAACGTGACGTGGTCCTCGTCAGCAAATCACTTTTGCACCGCACTTCGACGCGCGCACCCTAGGTAGCCGCACGCGCCGAGATATCACGGAGACGACGCGATGCTTCGCACGATCGCGAGAAACAACGAGCTCGCGCGGAGGACCCTCCTCGCGCGCGTCGCGGGGGCGTCGCAGCAGTCTCGGACGTTCATCTCGTTCGACGCCAAGTACAGCGACGAGATGCCGCTCGGGGACGCGGCGACGAGAATTGGCGCGTCTTTCGGCCCCGCGCTGGACATGATCGCGGAGGCGCAGCGCAAGCGCGAGCCGGTCGCGAAGAAGGAGGACACGATCTACGTTCCCGAACTCCCACACATTTTCCCGATAGCGCGCTTGGCGGCGAAGAGCGAGTTCGTGAGAGACGTCCTCGTCGTGGACGAGTCGAAGAGGGTCAAGCCGCGGCTGTCGTGGTACGATCCGTACGACACGTCCTGGGTCCCGACCGGGTGGTTCAAGGACGGCGTCGTCGCGGACGTGGAGTACTACTTCGGGGACAAGGCTGTGAAGGTCGGATCGAAGTGAGGGGAGCCGACACGAGGGAATGAAGGTCATCTGGGACGTCGTCGGCGCCGCGCGCGCTTTGTTGTACCACCGAGGGATATTGATAAAGAAGAAAAAGCGCCGCGATTCGACGACGGGGGGAACGCGACTGTTATACCATCACGCCGCTGACGCGCACTAATAACGACCCAAACGCGCGGTCTGTTGTAAAAGAATAATACTACGTACAAGTCGACGATTTCGTCCTACGCTATCGCTAGTGTGCGCGCGTTTTACTCGCGATTCATTTCTTTTCCCCTCGGTGTTGACGAAGAGAAAAGATCGGTCCCCTTTTTCTTTCTCTTCGGCGTCGATCGTCGTCACGATTTCTCCTCGACCCACGCCTTCGGGAGCACTCCCGCGTCGCGCATCGTGCCGAGGATGTCCGCGCGGTGACGCCACGACATGTAAGCGACGACGATCATCGCTAGCCACCGGCAGTACGTCCTGCACCGCCGCGCGGTGTCCGCCATCCCTTCGTGCGACGAAAACTGCCGCGCGTTTCTCGCGCGCGGTCACAAAACCGAGGAGGATCCGGAAACGCACGCGTCGATCGCGAACGAATCGCTCGTCGCGTTCGTCACGTCTACATTCAACACCGACTACCGCGCCGCGCGTCTCCGCGCGCGCCGCGTTCGTCGAGCGCTCGAAACGAAATCGGGATCGCGCGACGGCCGTCGTCGGAGCGGCCGATTCGCGCGCGATCCTTCACGAGTTCGTCGCGCTCGCGAACCGGCGCGCGCGCCCGGCGCGGCGCGTAAAAAATAGAGCTAGCGCTCGCCCGCTCACGCTCACTACTACACGGACGACGCGGAAGCCGACGTCGTCTTGGGTGCGTGCGTGGGTAACGCATCCAAAGGAAGCGTTTTCGACCGCATCTCGACCGGGATCTGAAGCGTCTCCGCGAACGCGCTGTCCGGCGCGCCCTCGCCCGTCTTCTCGATCTCGCGGAAAATCTCCACAAGCTCCGAGGCGTGCACGGCGCCGCCGACGACGTACTTCCCGCCGATGACAAAGTTCGGAATCGAGTGTATCCCCATCCGTCGCAAAACCGCCTGCGCGAGCCGAATCTCGGCGAGGCCCTCGTCTGATTTCAGGAACGCGTCGCACTCCGCGCGGTCCGCGCCGACGCTCTCCGCGGCGTCGCAGAGCATCTCGACGTCGTTGAGCTTCTGCCCTCTCACGAAGTGCCGGTCGTTCAGGTCGTTGTACAGCGCCTCGGACGCGACGCATCCGCGATGTTTCGTGACCCACTGAATCAACCGGTGCGACTTGAGCGTGTTCGACGCGAGCCTGTCGAGGTTGAAGTGCTCGATGCCCACCTCTCGCCCGCGTTCCTTCAGACGGTGCCGACGCTTCTGCGCGGCGAACGCCTCCTTCCCTCCCCACTTCCGCTCCAACCTCGCGCGATTCGTCTCGTGCCACTCCGGGTCTTCCTCGTAGTCCGGCTCCAGGAAGAACGGCACGCGAAGCACGCTGAACCTCAGCGGATTGTCAGCGTCCATCGGCGTCCGCGTCACCTCGCGCATCGCGTTTTGCAGGTGACGCTTGCCGATGAACCCGTTGGGTCACATCGTGTCGCTTATGAGCTCCACGGTGACGAGCTGGTGCTTCTCGGTCGGCGTCGTCGTCGTCGTCGTCGTCGTCGCCATGGACGCGAAGGGGACGCGCGTCGAGAAGGGCGCGAGCGAGCGGGCGCGGAGGGACGCGAGCGTCGCCGTCGCGACGCGCCTCGCCGCCGCCATCCGATCTTCTTCTATCCGATCGATCCGGCGACGTACGATCGCTCGATCCCTCCTCTCGCTCGCCGCCGCCGCCGCCGCCGCGCGCTTACTTCTTCGCGACGGGCTGGTCCACGTTCTCGTGCGTGTGACCGGGAGGGAGCGCGAATCCGTCCACGGCCTCGCTGAATCGGACGACGACCTGATGGACGCGAGCGAGGGACGCGAGGGGTGGGACGGGACGAGGTCGCGCGGGTCGTGGTTCTCGTCAGTCGACGGACGACGGGTCGGACGGAGGAGGGAGGAGGGATCGACGGCGAGACGCGCGCTCGTTCCGCGCGAGAGACGGCGGCGCGTTCGGTCGACGCGCACCTTGTCCGGGGTGATCTCCGCGCCCTTGACCGCGGTGACGGCTTTGATGATCGCCTGCTCGAGGCGACGGGACGGGGGGAGGGCGCGGCGCGCGTGAGACGACGACGCGCGAAGACGAGCGGAGTGCGCGGAATGTGCGGAAAGCCGAGCCGCGAGGCGCTATGACGCACGCCGACGACGCGGAACTGGCGCGCGACGTCGACGCACCGATGCGACCTCCTTGCGAATCTCCGGGGTGCGGCACGCTTTCGGGAGCCACGCGACGTGAACGAAAGGCATCGGCGCCGAGGTGTGTGACGCGGCGGCAGAGGTTTTCACGCGAGGGTTTGCGTGAGCGTGATGAGTGACATCAGATCAGAAATCGTTGAAACCGTCTCCGTCCGTCGCCGTGGTGTGTATGTGCACTCTCCGCTACCTCCTCTCTCCGCTCCGCTCCGCTCCCCTCGCCGGCCGCGCTTAAAAATCAAAATCAGGCTCCACCTCCATGGACCAGTTGAACTTCTCGACGAGCGCGCGCGTGAACACCGTCGGCGGCGGGACCTCGTTGCGCTTGCACCACGCGATCGTGATCCGCGGATCCAGGTAGTTGATCTTCGACGTCCCCAGCGACACCGTCTTGAGGTCCTCCTTCATCTTCATCTGAAGCTCAAGCTTCGCGAGCCGCTCCTTCATCGTGCTTATCTTGGACTTGTTCTTCTCCTTGTCCTGCCGCAGCGCCTTCAGCTCCTTCTCCATCGCCTTCTTCTTGTCCACGAGTTTCTCCATCTGCGCGCCGTGCGCCTTGCTCTCGCCCTTTTGGTGGTTGCACAGCACCGCCACCTCCTTGTTCGCCGCGTCGTACGCCGCCTTCTTCAGCGGCACCGTGTCTCTCGGGTTCGTGTCCTTCAGGAGCTTGTTCAGGACGAACGACGCGTTGTACGTCCTGAACACCTTGATCGTCAGGCCGGGCATCAGCGTCTGGAGGTGCTTGTTTACCTTTGACGGGTCGATCTGATCGAAGATGTCGTTATCCGGCTTTTTCCCCTTGCAAAACTTTTGCATCGCCTCGAACACGAGAGGGTCCACCTCGTGCTCTTGTAAATACCGGATCGAGTCCTTACCGAGGAAGTCGAGCTTCAGCGTGCTCGGCGTGATGAACTCCACGTGACCGACGCGCAGGGTGCACACGCCCACGGTGTCCGCGAGGTCCTCGTCCTTCTCCCCGCCCGCTCGCAACGCGAGTTTGTCCACGAGGTACGTCGTCACCGCGAGCTGCTTCGCGAGCATATCTCCCGTCTTCATCTTCTTGAAGTAATCCCTCCTGATCGCGTCGACCGCGAGCTTGAGCTTTCTCGCTTTCTCGTACTTTTGAATGTCGCTCTCGGCTTTGATCGAGGACATCGCGCCGAACTGGACGTACTTCCAGTCCTTGGTGTTGATCGTGTCGTTCCAGCCGCAGAGCCACGTGACGGTGTCGTTGTGTATCACGTCCTTCCACTTGTGCCCGGGTCCCGGGTCCGGCGCCGGCACGCCCTTACCGATGTTGATCGTGATGTCCTCGGGCATGATCCGCTTCTTGATGCGTCCCATCTTCGGGTGCTCGCCGCGGCCGCGGAACAAGCCGGGGGGCTCGACGCGGAAGTTGCCGACGCGTTCGCGCCGCCCGTCGATGACGGCCCAGTTGTACTTCTCCTCCTCCGCATCCTTCGCGGCTTTCGCCTTCTTCTTGTCCTCGTTGCTGATCGCCTTCTTCTTCTCCCTCTCTTTCAGATGCCACATGTACATCTTCGTGAAGTCGCACTTCTTGAACTCCTTGATCGTCATCGCGTGCGGGCCGCCGCGCAAGACTTTTTTAAATCCCTCCCAAAAGTTCTTCACGAAGACATCCTTCTGCGCGTAATCCGTGTCCTTCATGACCGCGAAGAAGTTCGCAGCCTCCTCCTCGTGCGGCAGCAACACGATGTCGACGCCGTCGTACGTCAGCGGGACCTTGTTCGGCTCGTACGGCGGCGGGAACACGACGCCGTGGTGCTCCAAAGTCTTCCACTGCTTCTTCGTCCCTTTCTTTCCCTTCCACGGCTCCGCCACGGATCGCGCCACCTTCGCGGACGCGGGGCGCGGCTTGGACGCGGGCGACCTCGGCTTCGGCTTCGGCTTGGACGGCTTCGGCTTCGGCTTCGGCTTCGACGCCGACGACGGCTTCGACTTCTTCGCGAGCGATCCGATCGGGACGTCGTCGTCGCTGTCGCTCTCCGCCTTGCGCTTCTTCTCCGCGGTGGACGGCATCATCGCCTTGAGAGCCGCCTTGCGGATCGGGGGCGGAGGCGCGAACCGCGCGGCGAGGGGGACGTCGTCGCTGTCGCTGTCGTCCGCCTTCGCGGGCGCGGGGGCGACGGGCGCGGGAGGCGGCGCGGCCGCGACCGGCGCGGGCGCCGCGGGGGGCGCGGGCGCCGCGGGCGCCGTCGCCGGCGGCGCGTTCGGCGCGCGCGCGGCGAGCGGGACGTCGTCGTCCGAGTCCGAGTGCAGGATCGCCATCGGATGGGAATTCGCCTCGGCGCGCGGTCGCGTGGACGCGGTCCGATCGGAGGTGCCGCGCTTCGAGCTCGGCGGCGGATCTTCTCGCCGCGGTCGCGCGTGCGGTCTCGGCGCGCGCGGAGACGCTTCGAGCGACCCCGGGTGGTTCGCGCGTGCGGCGCGACGGTCGACACTGCGGCGTCCGATCGCGCGAGGGAAAGATCCTCGTCAGGCAACGCAACGACTCCTTAGAGCTAGAATTGACGCTCGCTGCCGGTCAAAAATAATTGAAACCGGTGGTTCATCGAGGTTTGCGCGTTCGACGCGTTGAACCGCCGGTCGTTTGCCAACACCCGATCGAGCGCCTTTTCGGGTTGCTGCCTCCCTGACACGTTTTTCCGAACCACGCGAAGGGACACTCGCGCTCCGCGCGGACGCACGGAGCTCCGCCGCGTCGCGCGACATCGAGACGGTCTCGAGATGGGACGCGGCGGCATGGGGTGCCTCGCGTCCAAGCCGAGATCGACCGACGGCGACGACGGGTTCGACGACGTCGCGACCGCGGGGCGGAGGGGCGCGAGTGTTCGGAAGAAATTGCCTCCGCTGAAAGGGTCGAAGCTGACGATCAAAACGAAGCGGAGCTCGTTCGACGAAGACCGCGCCGCCGCGGCGCAGGACGTGCGTCGCCCGTCGCCCGTCGTTCCTCGCCCGTCCGTCCGCGCGCGCGCGCGTCGCCCGCCGATCGAACGTCGTTTTCTCCGATTATTCGCTATCGATTCACTATCGATTCGCGATCGCGAACACCCCGCCCGCCCGGGGCGCGCGCCTCCCTCCCGTATCGCGCCGCGCGCGCCCTCGCCCGACCGCGCTCACCTCCTCCTCCGCCGTCTCCCATCGCGCGCGCAGGCGTCGCACCCCGGGTACTACCTCACTCCGAAGCAAGCGACCGCGCTCCGGCCGTTCCTCTCGCGCGTCGTCCTGAAACAGCTGGCGGGCGATCTCAGGCGGGCGCCGCCGTTCGAGGGCGAGCGCATCCCAGGCGTCGCGCTCGTCGTCGACGTCTCCGGGTTCACGAAGCTCGAGATATCGCTCAACGCGAAGGGTAACCGCGGGATCGAGGAGTTCGGGGAGACGCTGCACGCCATCTTCGACGTGCTCGTGCACATCGTCGTCGAGGCTGGTGCGTTCTTACACTGGTCCCCATACGACCGCGTTGGCATGGTGAACGCCGATCCTTAAGGACTTTTCCCGGCGCATCTCTCCGCCCAGCTCTCGCTTTCAATCCCCGACCGCGACGCCTTTCAACTCCGTCTGACGCCTTTCAACTCCAGGCGGGCTGGTGCTGGAATTCGCCGGCGACGCGCTCGTGACGTTTTTCGCCGACGCCGACTTCGCCGGCGCCGCCGCCGACGCCGCCGCCGACGCGGGGGAGAACTCGGTCAGGGCGGGGAACAAGTCGAACTCGAACTCGCGCTCGACGACCGAGCGCGCGCGCGTCGCGTGCGCGCAGATGATGAGCTCGATGAAGGCGTTCAAGCACATCAAGCTTCACGGCGGGATCGCGAGAGGAAACCTGCGGACGCTGCACTTGGGGTGCGACTCCGGGACGATGGCGGGCGAGCACAGGCGAGGGACGCTGTTCGTCGGGTCCGCGCTTCAGAGGGCGGTGGAGCTGCTCGAGGAGTCCGAGAAAGGGACAATCTTGGTCGACGGCGGCGAGCCCGTCTCGGAGCGGACGCTGCCGGAGCATATGAAACACATGGGCAACTTGAAATGGTTCAAGCCGCGCGGACGGGGGAATAGCGAAGCCGCCTCCGAAGACGGAGGCTCCAAGGCGCCGACGCCGCCGTCGGACACGGACTCCGCGTTCGCGACCGACGGCATGACCCCCGGGGCGGGGAAGCCGCATAACATGCTCGCGCACGCGATGCGGACGCCGACGTTGATGTACCGAGCGGCGCACGCGAAAGCCGTGGAGGAGGACAGAAACGCGCAGGTCACGAACACGTGGTAGGGATCCCCTCACTTTCCCGTATCTTCGTTCGTTTTCGTTACATATCATGGTCTACACGTTCGTTTCCGCCGGTTCCGTCAGATTGTCGACGCTATCTCGCGACATCGTCGCGATTTACTCTGCCTATTTCATCGCTTCGTCTTGCGTTTCTTCTTTGACTGCGTCAAGGCGATCTCGTCTTCATCCCGAGCACCCTCGGCATCATCTCCATCTCCCTCCGCACCGCCCGCGGGCACTGTCGCTGTCGCTGTCGCCGTCGCTGTCGCTGTCGCTGTCCACTCAAACTGCTTCTTGATCTCCGGCTGGTACTTGGTACTCGGGATCGGCTGGACCCAGAACTTCGATCATCAGTCTGTTCCGTCTGCATCACTCAAATTACACCGTCCCGCCTCTTATCTACCGCGTCGGGCTCCCCACGTCTTATATCGCTCGCGTTATGACTTGACAAACTACTCGGGCGTGTGCGTGTCTGATTGTTTTTTTGTGCGGGTGACTCTAACACGTGGGCTCTCGTCGCGGAAAACCTCGAGGGAAACGGCGTCGCGTTCTTCCGAAACGTCTTTCGCATCGCCCCGGAGGCTTTGCAGCTGTTCTCGTTCCGCGACGTCGTGAACCTGTACGAGTCCCCGCAGCTGAAAGCGCACGCGACGAAGGTGATGTCCACCGTCGGCGTCGCCGTCGCGGGGCTGCAAGACATCGGGAAGCTCGTCCCGGTGTTGTCGATGCTCGGGAAGAAACACCTCGCGTACGGCGTCCTACCCGCGCACTACGACGTCGTCGGGCAGGCGCTGTTGGAAACCCTGGAAGCGGGCCTCGGCGAGCACTGGACCCCGGCGGCGGCGCACGCGTGGGCGACGGTGTACGGCACCGTCGCGGACGTCATGAAGAGCGCCGCGGAGGAGGCGCAGAAAGCCGCGGAGAGGACGGAGGTGAAAGTTCGACGCCTGGGAAGGGATATCCGCGAGGCGATGGCGACGACGGGCGTGCACTACCTCCAGCGCTACGTCCTCCGCCACGTCGTCGTGAACGAGAGCAAGGACTCGATGCGGATGTCCGAACTTCGGACGATCGCGTCGCTGTTCGCGCGCGTGCCCGTCCCGGTGGACGACGACGTCGACTTGGACGCGCACAACAACGCGTTTAAGACGTGCCACGAGTGCGTCGAAGCCCTCGGCGGGGTCGTGAACCAGTACCTATGGGACGACAAGGGCGTCGTCTTGAAAGCGGCGTGGGGGTTGCTCTGTCCGACGCGCGACGATAAGATGAACGCCGCGGTGTGCGCGATGCGTCTCGTCGAGAGGCTCGGGCCGCAGGCGCAGGTGGGCGTCGCGAGCGGCTGGGCGTTCACCGGCCTCGTCGGCGCGGAGGGAACGAGGCTCGGCATGGTCATGTTCGGCGCCGAGAGCGTGACGCTCGCCGCGTGTTTGATGATGAAAGCGAAGCCCGGGAGCGCGCTGACGTCGGAGAACGTGAAAGCGGCGACGGAGCGGTCGATCGCGTACGAGGGCGAGGACGAGCCCGATCTCGTTTGAAAGGGCGCGATAGGGTGGAAAAAGTCTGC